GACTACGGAGGCCGCTATTCTACATGTAAATATATATTATTATTTCGACTGTCTTTAAGCCCTTTTTATATTTACTTCATGCAACTGCGTTCTACATTTTGAGCATATTTGTCAAAATATTTTCTTTTGAATCTTCTCAAAACTGAAGATTTCTGCAAAATAGTTTCTTGTATTAAAATTTTAGCGCCAGAATCTAAAAATAATTACATTTCCTACATAGAAATTAATTTTTTCCTGAGATTAAATGAAACAGTGCTTACAGGTGAAAAGACAGAGACCTAGAAGCGTTTCATATTAACTCTCCCTTAAAACACTCCACGATTTTTCGGAACGAACCGACAACGACAGCGGAAAACCTCAGAACAGACGCTCACAGGTCGCGATTCGAAATGGACGCCTATAGGATATGAGGATAGAGGCGTCAGTATGTCTTTCTTCTAATTAAATTACCGTTGCTGGCCAGCATGTCCTTTGTGGCGTAATGATTTGTTTGTTCTTCGTGAGTGTGAATCACGTAAGGATGTTGTTATGTGTTTACGTTTCCATTGTCACGTTTTTTAATGGTCGTGATGAGGTGGAAAGACGAGAGATGAAAATTAATTTAAATAAGACCTTAGCAAATAATTGCACGTTGAACTTGTTAAGCCTGACAATTTTATTTTGCAGAAGAAAGTATTGATTGAACAAGGATTTCATTTAAGTAAAACTGGAAACCTTCAAGAAAGCATAATGATATTTCAAATAATAGATAATTATTAGTTATACAACTTGCCTTGTCCTTTGCACAGCCTACATCGGCCAACACCAAGCCATGCGGCGCAATCTTAATGCCAAATTTGGTTCATGAGGCAAGTCACAAGAGAAAACACAAATTCCAGCTAAAGCGAAAGAAAACTCCGTGGTTTTAGTCCGCAAGCTAACTATACCGACCGAGCGACCGTCGTTTGTCGGCGAAGTTAGTGTCACCTTTAGCGGATAGAGTCTCGCGTGGTCAGCGCAACGAATCCCCTTGGCCGTTAATTTCGGTTTTCTATACCGGAGCCGCTATTTCCTTGAAATAGCTCCTCAAATATCCTTACGAGGCTGAGTGGACCCCATTCCAGACCCACAGCTTCTCAGAAAATCTGGTAGCGCCGGGAATCGAACCCGGACCTCTAGATCTGTAGCCAGGAACTCTGACCACTAGACCACAGAAGCGGTCACTAAAGCGAATAAGGGACATAAAACTGCAAACTAAGATGAAGTAAAGATGTATCACTGGGCCGCGCCATAGCTCAAGCGGTTAGTCGCTGGCTTCCCACCGCGGCGGCCCTGGTTCGATCCCGGGTCTGGTCAAGTGGTATTTGTGGTGGAAAAAGTGGCGCTGGGCCAGCTTTTCTCTGAGTACTTCGGTTTCCCTTGCCAATCTTCATTCCACCAATTGCTCCACAATCACCATCATCTATCATCTGGGGCTGGTACAATAGGCCAGAAGTGGCCGCAGTACAAGGGACTTAGTCCCACCCCACTAACAATTAAAAAATAATATCAGTATTGAAGCTGTTCCGAGAACTGGGGCAACACAACTTCAAGAACTGATACCCTTGTTCCTCATCACTGTTTGCGGACTGGGAACTTTTGGTGGAACTTATTTTAGACTTCTCCCGGTTAAAAGGGGATTGTGGGTGGGAGACCGAAGTTGGGGATGGGGTGAGCTGCTAGGAGCGAGGGGAGTCGATATAGGGCTGACTGCAAGCCCTGCGGCAACCCTCGACAATTCCACCCTGCACTCCAACGACGCCCTGAGGGTGCGCAGTAGCTTTCATCATATCGTATACCCATTCATACCATTCTGTGTGGACATTAGATTGGTTCAAGAGGCTACGAACGAATCCAGAAGTTCTCGAAGCGAGTGTGGAAACCTCTTCCTCATGTCTGAAGCACCAGAAACCTCGTGCAGCTTAAGTAAGTAAAGCATAAATAAATATTTCCTTCGAATCCAGAGGTTTCTACACATCAAGTTTATTGCTTATTCGTATTCGCATGCTCCGTCGTTTTAAGTTATGGTTAGCCTTCCGCGTGTCCTAGGAGAACGACAGTGACAAATCTAAATTATTCGCGAAATTAAGAGCAGATTAAATTCTGGGATCGTTATCATCTAGTCCACAGTTCTTTGCTTTTTCATCTACCCTTACGCGTAAAAACGTATTAAAATGTATTGAATATAACTTTGCCTCTTGTTTTGTATAGGTGTGAAATTTGCTATGTCTTTTAGGAGTAGAATATAAATTGAGGCTATGTGAGGATACTGTACTATAGACCAAATAGAGATCTAGGCGAGAGGTAATAAAATGACATAGAAAACGGCTTAATGAGGAGCCTCACAATTTCTATAATTTGTGATCTTTGTCAAATAGAAATAATAATAAGAGAGATTAGATGGGCGAAGCATGTAGTACGAACAGACGTCTCGAGACAGACATAAAAACTTTTAGTTAGAAAACTGAAAGGGAAAATACCATTTGCAAGTTACCAGTCATGGAAGGTAAATAAATAGATAGATAAATGGATTTTTTTTATTTTTTGCAAATTTACAATCTACTCCATAGTAACAATATGAGTAATAAGTAAATGGTTTAAAATTTGAAGGCTTGTGATGGGTACCATTCATTAATGGTTCTCCGTGTGGTTACACATCATCGAGAAGGTCTTCTGGCCAGAGTTTCTTCAGTCTTCTTTTTTCCAAGGGTTGGGTGAATAGGGCACTTATGAGTTGGTTTACATGCTCTGTTGTTCGATCTTTGTATCTGTTTATGTTTGACTTAATTACATCTTATATTAATGGTATTTTGAAGTCTTCATGTAGAGTTTGGTTAGAGACGTGCCATGGTGCTCCAGCTATCATACGGAGTGTTTTGGATTGGAATGACTGAAGAATTTTGGTATTTGATGGTTTACTACGACCCCACATTTCCATACCATATGTCCAAATTGGTTTAAGTATGTATTTGTAAATGATTAGTTTACTTTCCAAAGACAGTTCGGACTTACGGTCGAGTAGCCACTACATACTTTTGATTTTTAGATCAAGTTTGCGTCTCTCCGCTTTTTTATGCGTTTTCCAGGTCAGCTTCTCATCTAGGTAGAGTCCGAGGTATCTGACCTCTGTCTTTACTGGTGTAGGGTCGTTGTTTGTGTTAACCTGAGGGCATCTGCTTTTTTTTTTTTAGTAGTAAATGTTACTTGGACTGATTTGTTAGTATTAACTCATATCATTAAACAAACAGAAGCGACTGTGTGGACTTGATTCATGCTGGCCAGAGGCATTGCACCCTGAGCCACTTCAATCCAGTCCACACACTCAATACCTGATTTAAGATTCACTTTAATATATTCTCTCATCTGTGCCTAGTACTTCGAACAAATGGTTTCTTATGTTTGGATTTTCCGAATCATATTCTGTCAGCACACTTTATCTCTCCGCACGTGCCTATGCAGTGTCCGTATCATCCTCATTAATCTTATTACTTCAATAACATTTAATGAGGAGTAGACAGAGATTATGAAGCTGTTCTTACATCCTCTCCGTTATGCCCACACACTTTCCTCAGAATCCTGTACTTAAATAGCATCAGTCTATGTCAATCCTTAAGGATGTCAAACTGAATTTCTCAACCACATGAAGCAGTTACTCGGCAGAGTTGCCATTTTGTATACTTTCATTTAATATTTTACACATGAAACGTGGAGATAAAAGATTCCCCACACGTATATAATTTATTTTACAAAACCATCTATACATATAGTGGGGCACGAGGTAGCGTAGTTGGTTGAGGCACTATGCTACAGGCCGGAAGGTCGCGGGATCGAATCCGGATGACGTGGATTTTCTTTCAATTTACCCAATCCTTCCAGCTGCACTATGGCCCTGGGGTTGACTCAGCCTCTAACAGAAATGAATAGCTACCAGGAATCTTCCTGAGGGTGAAGGGCGGTCGACGCGTAAGGCTGACAACATCACCGCCATCTGTGAGCCGATTGTCTAGAAAATGTTGGACCCTGAACGTCTCACAACCCTATGGGCCTCCACGGCCTGTTACAGGGATACCTTTACTTACTTACTATACATATAGTCACGAGTCAGGATAGTTAAGTTGACATAGCAACGGGCTACGGGTTGGACGGCCGGAATTCGATTCCTGAAAGGGATCAAAATTTTCTCCTCTGCATAGCGTGCCCACCCAGCCTTCAATGCATACCGGGGGGCTCTTTCCCCAGGAATAAAGCGGCCGGGGCGTGAAGCTGATAATTCACCTCCATCTAGTGCCGAAGTCAAGAATGTTGAAGCTACAGCTCCACTCTCCCGTACGTTTTCATGACATATACGTATATTTGTCTCCCCCGGGGGAGGGGGGGGTTCCAAACATGCAGTTGGTCCAAGAATCCAAGGATGCTGAAACTCAAGATAATGAAAGTTTCTGAGCCAAATGATTGTCTCCATTCTTTGAATGTATTTTTTGTCCAATTACATTTCTGGATCCCCAGGTAGTTTAAGTTAAGGTTATATGCTTCACTAAAGAAGCATGACGCCATGAAGACGTATGGGGAGTGATGGTATAGCTCCACCATTCTTAATCTCAGCACTAGATCAAGGTGAGTGGCGAGCTTCATACCCCTGCCTCTTTACTCCCAGGGAAACCTAATATCTAGTGTTGTAACAGCCTGGTGCGAGCCTCCCGGAGACGGGGGGACGGGGTAGGGGGAGGGTTCCAAACACGCAGTTGGCCAAAGAATCCAAGGATGCTGAAACTCAAGATAATGAAAGTTTCTGAGCCAAATGATTGTGTCCATTCTTTGAACGTATTTTTGATTTGTTACTGTGTTCCCCAAATATTTTGACTTCGTTTATGAGCGATGTCGTCAGACAGTGTTTGTTGGTGTCGGGCTGACATTTCCTACCGCACGCCACAACATGTGTGCGGGCGTTCGAGGCAGCGGAAGTTCCAGCTGGCAAGTGGCACAATGCCAGTCTGCTTTCAGGCAGGGCGCCGAGTGTGTGTGCAGAGTTTTCTCCTGGGTAATGCCCAATGATCGCCGTCGGTCTCACGGATGAAACTACTTCCTTTGTGGTTTGTATGGGGTAAGAATGGTGCCATACATCTCACGGTTTTGCAGACTTCAGATAACAACATATGTTGATACTCATTCATGTTGCATTTATTTTATGAATAATATTAGCAGTGCCTCAGACGTCACAACCTTGGCGAGTGTATGTATTATTTTTCCTGATTTAATTACCGAAGCTTTGTTAACATCTTCGGTTAAATAGTGCTGAATGACAGTGCGAGTGTTAATGATGAAGTGGGAAAGATGCGGAAATCGTCATGGTTTATTTTCAGATACCCCAGCATTGTGAGGAGTGACTGATGGAAACTACGCAAAATCTCGATCTGTATAGTCTATCTCCGGACTGAGAGTCAAACCCGGGACCCCCAGAATGTGTACGAAGTGATTATGTTAGTTAAAATTAATAAGCAAGAGCTACTTATGTTTTGTCTCCTTACGCGTGCAGGATTACGGAAGGTTTTCTGTTCTATACTGCCTTGTTAATTGCGACAGGCGGTAGCAATAAACAGCAGTGAGAGATAGACCTCACCTGTGCTTCAGTCGGTATTGCAGTCTCGACTTCTGCCGAAAAACGTAACACCGTCTGTGTAATGAATGAAATTGTGATTTTGAAGTGCCCACCAAGGGCTGTAATGTACCGTGTAACACAGAACTAGTGGAAGGGCCATCCGTGATAGATGCACCTGTTCCACGCTCATTAACCTTCATATCGATTGACAAAATAGTGTTTCGATATTGAAGGCGTCATTAAATAACCAAGAAAAGGAATGGAAAATTTTCCGTAGAATTTTCCCCAGATATTTCACTAGGAATTTATGTCGCGCAGACCAGAATATTAGCAGTATACAAGTAATGTGCTTCGAGTTCCATGAATGTCGGGTAGTTTCTTGATCATGTGAGCAGCAATCAGCTTCTCAAGAAGGGATCAGCCTCCGCCAGTGCCGCTACCTACACACGGAACAACACAGAATAAATGCAGACAGACATCCATGTCTTGAGTGGGATTCGAACCTACGATCCCAACGTCCGAGCGAGGGAAGACAGTTCATGCCTTAGACCGCGCGGTCACTGTGATTATACAAAGCTGTGAGAAGTGCGTGTTCTTAAAGACTTCTGCATTGATTAGTCTGAAAAAAAGACAAGCATTTTGTAATAAGTGAACCCTTGCAAAAAATATGTTCAGATTACCAGCTTCATATATCAGTCGGAAAACCAAACTTTTTTTCTTTATGGTTTTAACCCTTTGTATTCAGATACTGTCATACATTGTAATGAGGTTGGCTACGTGCTGGGCGTCTGGTATTCGATCACCGGAAAGGACAAAGACAGGAAATGCGCCTGGTGCCCACATGCAGATCGGCTCTGAGGAACAAAAACTGACCAGTCTACTCGTCCTTCCCTAGCCGCAACACGGAACCGAGTAAGCTTACAGCTCGAAATAGGTCACAGTTATCTCTTTCAAAATTTTCCCTTATTCATCATCCATGAAATTCCCATATCATTCCATGTTACGTATCAACTTCAGCTGAAATAGGATTGTTCAGTAACCTAAGAATCAGGGAAACATTTCCAACGGGAGCGTTTGATTTTTCTTTCCGTATTTTTAGCCCACTTTCCCTATTTATAAAAAATAAAAGGGGGCTTATGAGAGCACCTTACTGTCTGTGCCCCCCCCCAAGTTGCTAGGCATCGGCTCGGTAAACATGTTCCAGTGACAACGAACACAAATCAACAATAGAACTGCTGGACGCGGTGTTTTCTGTGAGGTCAGTGTAGTATCAAATACTCTATACGTAGTACATAGTTCTTCCCAGGAGTACTTATGAGAACCTCATATCCTACATGTGTCAATCTGGCATTCATCTGCAGAGAGTGGTAAACCTCAGGATGGAAGATAACCAGGCCGAGATTGTAGAACTTCCCGAATGCGCGTAGAGATCGTTACTGGCGCTCCTGCAGGAGAAGCAAGAAATGACTCGGCCTGGCACTAGCATCAACGCCGGAAATTAAACTATAAACATTGTGAAGAAAATAAAAGCGCGGCATTTGAGAACCCTCTTGCAGTGTTGATTCAGAAGCTGATTTACTTGGCGAAAACATAAATACCTTAAAGAAAAGAAAGACGGAATAAAGTTCCATTAGACGCCAGCAAGGAAAATGATGTCGAGGAAACGAAGTTCAAAATAAAATCATAACACAAAAACGAGAAATAAATCATTCGAAAATACGGCAAACTTCAGATGTCTGGCAATGATGGTGACAAAAATCACATTAATAATTTAAGTAAAAGCATACCAAATCCGTGGAATTCTTGCTACAATTCAGTTATTTTTTTCGCTGGCTCTACAGCCCCCTTGGGTCCTGGCCTCTGATTTTTAGTTTCATGATCATTTTACAGACGGTATGACTCCTTGGATGAGTGATCAGCTCGTCGCAAGACCTCTACGTAAACAAAGGACAACACAAACACAGAATAAACACATATACATACCAAAAATCCACGCCTTGTGTAGAATTCGAACCCACGATCCCACCTTCCGAGTGAGCGAAGACAGGCCATGCCCTAGACCGCTAGGCTACCGTGAACGGCACAATTCAATTAAATGTTCTTTTATACCCTCCTGTTGTTTCAAACGCAAAGATTAAAATATAGACACCTATAATTTTATGTGTCATTCTGTGTATGTGATTGGACTCTTTACAGTAATTAAGGGAAGAATATGGATTAAGGATTTCGAGATCAGTGGGCTGAGAAAATTTGGACTTAATAGGGAAAAGCGGCACGTGGTTGGAGAAAATTACATGATGAGTTTTAACATTGGTATTCGTCATAAATATTGCTAGGATGCTCCAGTCAAGGGGCTGAGATGCCGCAGGAAGTAGCGAGGCGCAAGATGGATAGAAATGCTGATCGGAACACCTAAGTGGAAGCCATAAACGTCGTTGGGAAATTAATATGTGGATTTTAAAAGAACAGAATTGAAAGGTGTGACCTGGATTCGACAGGAACGAGTGGCGCGCTCTTGTGATCATTAATTAACCTTCGGATTCCATAAAAGCAACGAATTTCTGCAATAGCTCATATCTTCCCACGAAGGAGTCAGCTCCAGAGAGTTAGAAAAATCCCCATTGAGGAGCATGCTGTTATGTTTCTTTACTGAATGCTTTGAATAGTCTGAAGCAAGGAGATGCTTTATCGTCATTGCTTTTTGCGTGTTACAAATGATCTTCGTGTTTCATACCTCTGACTGGACGATGAAGGACCTAACATTCCTGTAGAAGCCAAAGTGCAGCATTTCAACAATGCCGTCATGGTTTTATTTTAAACACTTAACAACACTTAAGAGAAATATTTACGCGTTAGGAAGTTTGATCCTCTTCGAACTGCCGATGATTACGTCATAGCGTCTAGAAGTTCTACGTCATGTAGCGAGAGGACGCTGATCATCTGTCCGCTGCGAAGAAGATAAAACAGTTTGCATATCTGTATTCTCCCATGATTGAAAAACAGAAAAGCAAAATTAATATGATCATGCTTTGTGGTTTCGCTCGGTCCTTTGAAGGGTGCCACACTCTCAGATAGTAAATATTCCCACCAGGGCGGCCCGGGTTCGATCCCGGGTCTGGTCAAGTGGGATTTGTGGTGGACAAAGTGGCGCTGGGGCCACTCTCCGAGTACTTAAGTTTCCCCTGCCAATCTTCATTCCACCAATTGCTCCACAATCACCCTCACCTATCATCTGGGGCTGGTACAATAGGCCAGAAGTGGCCGCAGTACAAGGGTCTTAGTCCCACCGCACTAGCAATAAAAAAACAGTAAATAATTTCACAGAGCGGAATATTCTTGAGACCTGATAGAAATACGTGTACCAGGCGATTTATGAAAACCAAATCTTTGTTACCGTATAACAAAATGCCGTCACTGGACTCTATCTTGCGCCAGTTAAATCCAGTTCACATTCTCACATCGTGATTCTACAACCTTCCCTTCTACCCATACGTAACTCTTCCCAGATGTTTCTTCTCGTCATGTTGTATTTCTCATTTCATCCTAGGTATTAGGCCTACGTGTTCCATCTGTTTCTTGTTCTGATTTTGTCACCGAAATATTTGGTTAAATGAAGTAGTTATAAGCCGGTCGCGGTAGCCGAGCGGTCTAAGGCATGCACTGTCTTCGCTCGCTCGGAAGCCGGGATCGTGGTTTCGAATCCCACTCAGGGCATGGATGTTTGTGTGCGTTCTTCTGTGTTTGTGTACAGCTTCTGTGTTTGTGTACAGGTAGAGGCCTTGCGACGAGCTGATCACCCGCCCAAGGAGTCCTACCGTATGTGTAAGATCTAGAAAAACCGAAGTGAACGGAGAGTTTCATGGAGGTAGGCCTAGGCCCACTGGGGCTGTAGTGCCAAGAAAAAAAAGTAGTTATAAGGCTTTTCATGAAACTTTATCAGTTCTCCTGTCACTTCGTCTGTCCTACGTCCAAATATTTTCCTCAGTTCCGTGTTCTCATACGCCTTTGACCTATTCTATTGCCATAGACGAAGAGACCTGGTTCGACACCCAAATATGTAGAATTGCAGTTTTGTATTTTAATCTTTAGAATTTCAGATAGGAGCCGGCAGACTGAAGTGATATGGTAAAATCGACTCCTCTTTTTGCACTGGTGCGTTCAAAATACTAATAATGTAAGTTATATGAACAGCGGAGGGTGATATTACGTTGACAAGAACTTCATAATTTACAAACCTGGTCTTGTACAAATAACCGCTACTGTGTTGCTGACCTTTGATACATCTGTCACACGCAACATGCGATAAATTTAAAATGCAATGTAACGTAATTTAATGTAACGCATTATCGGCAGACAAAGTGCGCTGCTACGAGATAAGAAATCACGTAAGGTCAGACGGGAGGAAAGGTGCACTGAAATAAGGAATTGAATTCTTTGTGGGTTTGTTACACAAATTAGATATTGGTATTTATTTATTGTAGAATCAGAATTTGTTTGTAGATTAAGGAGAAATTATTTCTTATTTATAGAAATTTGACCGCCTCTGTGGTCTAGTGGTCAGAGTTCCTGGCTACAGATCCAGAGGTCTGGGTTCGATTCCCGGCGCTACCAGATATCCTGTGAAGTAGTGGGTCTGGAACGGGGTCCACTCAGCCTCGTGAGGATAAATGAGGAGCTATTTCAAGGAAATAGCGGTTCCGCCCGAGAACACCGAAATTAACGGCCGCGGCGTTTCGTTGCGCTGACCACTCGACACCCTCTGTCCGCTAAAGTTGGCACTAACTTCGCGGACAACAGGCGGTCGCTCGGTCGGTGTAGTTCGCTTGCGGACTAAAACCACGGATTTTGTTTTTTTATTTTTATAGAAATTTAAAATAGGTCCTTTTTTCTTGATGACGTTAAAGCTAACCATAGTGGGTTTTCATTTGAATGGTAAGTCTATTTATAAAACGATGCTATTGCTTTTCGAAAAGAAATCTGTTTGAGGGACGAGAAATTGAAGTGTCAAACGCATATTCCAGCAGCTAACTCATGCATGCTCATTCAGCAGACCAGATGAAATAGTCACTAGCCACATTCTGGGAACAGACACAGATTTATAAGAGCGAACTTCTGTGTCGTGAAGTTATGACTCAACTCGAATAGTCTGAAACGCAACTCAGCTTCTGGACCGAAGCCAGCAAGTCTGATTATCGTCATTTAATAATCACAGCTGCACGGGCACTCGCGTCTACAGGGCAGACTACCGAAACCACGAACTTCTACAGTTTCTAATATTTCATTTGTATAGAACGTTAAATGTTGGTATATTTGGAATTTATTCATCAAAACTTTAATAACGAGCTATCTCTGTCCTTTTGCCCGAGCATTAATTCACTTAGGAACATTAACACTGTAACGTGTAGTACGGTTGCTAAACGGTAACTGCAAACAGAGGCCGTTGATAGGTAACGCCAGAAACATATACGCATGTAACAATAGAACAACGGCGTTACGCCACCCGTTTCTAAGCAACGGCTCGGTAAACACGTTCCCTCGGAAACGAGACTCACGCAACAATACAGTTACAATGGAAACGGTTTTTTTTTCTGTTTGGTGTAACCCAGGCCCACTGAGGCAGTTCAATTGAAAGTCAGCCCGTGAAGGGAAGACTTTGAGGTTAGTGCGTAATGACCTCCAGTTAGTTGTGTTGTCAGTTGAAAAGAGTTCGTTGCAAGAGTGCGGCTGTGAAAAGAAGATCTGATGTTTGATATCTAGAGTGTATAAATCAGCCAGGCTGTTATAGTTCCTGTGTTAAATCCGTTGCCAGGAAACGGCTAGTGGGGACTGTAATAGACTGAGGACATTGGTTCGTGTGTGTCAGTGATGTGTAAAGTGTAGTTCGAGTGGTGCATAGAAGTGGTCAAGAAATCCAATATCCGATCCATACCCCGTCTATAGTCACATCTCTAAATACCTGACAGTAGTAATTAATTTGGATCATTTTCTGATTTTAATGCAGCTCGGTATAACCTTCATGCTGTTGCAAGTCATTCTGTTTTATTTAATATATTTAACAATTCCAACATGGCTGCAGTGCGAACTTCGAGAGCGGAAATAACTCTATAGAGTCATGCAACTAAAGATCTTGGATTTCTGTGTGGCGATTTCTGTGTGCTGATAGCAGGCAACTGTACTTTATGTAAGATTTGAGGCTTTCACGGCGGTGACTATGAAGAAAGCAGTCGTCTGGGATTTGGCACCGTGTATATGTGGTGTTAACCGACGTTTCGGAGGAACGTATCGCCTCCATCTTCAGGGTAGAAGAAAAATATAAGAAATCTGCAAGCGAAGAGACCGCGAGAACCGGTAAAAGCAGACAGTCCGAAACGTCGGTTAACACCACATATACACGGTGCCAAATCCCAGAAGACTGCTTTCTTCAACCGTACTTTAATTAAATTATTGGAGAAATTTGTACTCTTCGCCAAATATTACAAGGGTAATAAAATCAAGGGGTATGGGGATGGACAGGGCATTCAGCACGCGTGGGAGAGACGAGAAATAAATAATATAAAAGCGATATACAGTAACTATAAACCTGAAGAGGTTGCTAGAAATATGCAGACGTGAATGGAATGATAATATTAAGATGGATTTTACAGAAATAAAACATCAGAGTGTATAATGGGTTAAGATAGGTCAGTATTACATACGGGCCTGTGGTGGGCTCGTGTGAACGTAAAAATGAATATTTGGGTTCCATAAAAGGCGGAGATTTTATTTCTGACCAGCTGAGTGAATATATCATTAGGTTCCCAAGAAGGACTCTGATCTCTGATTAAGTTTAGTTATTAGGCAAATGGTAGACATTTCGACCATGCGATATATTTTGATGTTGTAAATGACTAACCTGACATCTGAAATTCTGTTTGGTGGTGTGTTACATATATATATATATCGGTAGTACTGCATAAACTCGATGCCTACAAGTTCTGACTCTTTGAAATCTTAAAATATACAAGGCTAATAGCTAGTACAGCCGGTCACGGTAGCCGAGCGGTCTAAGGCATGCACTGTCTTCGCTCGCTTGGAAACCGGGATCGTGGGTTCGAATCCCACTCAGGGCATGGATGTCTAGTTTGTGTGTGTGCGTTTTCTGTGTTTGTGTACAGGTAGAGGCCTTGCGACGAGCTGATCACCCGCCCAAGGAGTCCTACAGAATGTGTAAGATCTAGAAAAACCGAAGTGAACGGAGAAGTTCATGGAGGTAGGCCTAGGCCCACTGTGGCTATAGTGCCAAGGGGGAAAAAAAATAGCTAGTATACATAGAATGACCTAACTCTGTTTAACGGCCTACCTGAATAGACATTTCCCCTCCCCAATTTGTTTTCAGTTATCAGTAAAATAGCTAATCTTTGAGTATGAATTAGTTTATGTTGTGCTTCTGATAAGGCTGTCCAGCTTTTGCTCCATCTTCGATAAATTTAGGCATAATCCTCTTTATCATATTGAAGAGAAGGTGAGTAGTCCCAGAATGTGAGGAGTAGACCTCTCCGAAATCCATTTGAGACGTGATACCGTGTGTAGGGCTTAAGTGTTTAAAGTCCAGACAGTAACAGAACAATATGTCATTGCTTATCTTGTAAGAACATTTGAAAACACTGATAGTGCAGAATGTCACGAACACACAGATGCTGCTGCCATCTCGTTGCGGCCTCACGGCATTTGAACATTTAATTATCGAACTCTCCTGCTTCCGTAATTGTGAATTTAGGTAAGTTCTGTGTTCAGTTCCTCGCCTAAGACAAATGTAATTCTCAGACATTATTTCAGCTTAGCAGCAGCAGTTTAGTTTCAGCTTGTAATTTCCGAAACATATTTAATTTCGATATTGTTGAGTTCTTAAACTATTATGATAAATACATGCAGACCGAAATGTTTGCATAAAGGTCTCCACAACCAAGAAAGACATGATTATGACGTTATACTAACTCCATGGAGCTGAGCCCTTCCTGAGAAGCCGCCAGTCGCTCAACCACTCAAGAATTTCTCAACATTTTATGGAAGCCGAAGTTACATTACCCTATTCACAAAAGCCCTCCACTGGTCACTAACCAGTTCATACTATCCCACCCCACCTCTCTAAAATCCATTTTAATATTATCCTCCCACCTACGTCTGGAGCTGTTGTAACATGCGCGTTTGACAGAAGGAATTATAAAGGACATGTTAATATCAGTGCTCAAGTAGGCTTTAGATGCTCGTTTTATACTAAGTAAAATTATATTTTAATTAAATACATAGTTTCATATGCAGGCCTACATGTATAAATTCAGGCTGGAGGACGTATTGTTTAATTACTCGTATTACCAATAATAAGATATTTCGTTATCATTCGCGCGTATTCCAGGACCGATGTTTATTCTTGAATATACAAGTTCGAGAGTGTATGCATAGGGTAACAATTCATATTTTTGGTTATCTCGAAACCGCAGGAGCCAAGGATAAAGCATGTTTAATACAACTTATTTCATTTTTCTCTCCAACTTTCGCTCAGATAGACATTTAAGGAATTGTGATCAAGATGCAGGGCTTCATGTGAAGTCGCGCCTTTGTTTTCATTTTAACCAAAAGTGGAACATGTCGACAAAATGCTAGTAGAACTGCCGCAAACCCGTCCAACATTTCTCAGGGTGTTCCACGCGTACAGAAGAAGAAGCTGTAACTGTCGCTTCGCAGAATTGCGAAGGATCCTTGAAAAGCTGGAACTAGTACATTTCTGACTGCATGAGGCAGAGTCCTCATTGAGAAGCTAATAGTCGTCCAGATGGTCAATATTTTTTTTTTGCGGTGGAAATCCTAAGGTTCATTAGCCTGTTCAAAATAACCCGCCACTGGTACCCATCCTGAATCAGATACTCAGCAATGGCTATTGTATAGTTTCGTGTTTCGCGGTCGTTGCCTAGCAACGGGTCTACATGCCACATTGCTCCCTCCTTAAGGCTATTCGTCCGGAAGTTTCTGTGACTATTCCTTCGTGAGCAGAATAAATAAGCCAGCACTCATCTGGACAGTTAGGAGAGGGTCTTCTTTAAGTTGAAACACTCTTGAACGATTAACCAAATAAATGCTGCGAATGAGAGTAAAGTCGAACTTCATAGTGATCAATGACACGAAATAAACCCTTGAAACAGAGTCTAGTGATCAATCATTTCTGAAGTATTTCAGGGAAGTGCCTCCCACTACCGACATGAACCGCCCTTCATGTTATCAGTCATTGTCCAACTTCCTATAAACCAATCGTCTTCTAAGCGATCTACCTCATACGTGGTCCTAAAAACAGACGGATTCACCAACTGTAAGAACTGGTGCGAAAACGCGCTTCAGCCGGTTACATCAGTTTATGTTCCTATACACAGTGTTACCTCTTCCTGCAGACGAGCAGAGCTAGAATCACAGTCTCCCGCTATGCTGAGGCGAGGTGTTTTCCGGAGGTTGCGGCTGTTCGTATCCTGACTCATCCAAGAGTTTCTCTTGTATCTTGGTTCGTTTTAAGACTTTATTTCAAGGCGAATAGCGTGGAGTGACGGTTATGATTATGAAGGTTCACTAGGGGAGGGGGGAGGCACACGAAAAAATCTGCCTTGGCCTTACTTACTTACTTACTTACTTATCCATGGAGCTGAGCCCTTCTTGAGGAGTTGCCAATTCTGCAGCTACTCAAGAATTTCCCAGCATTTTATAAAACCCGAAGGTTCATTATCGTGTTCACAAGAGCCCTCCACTGGTCCCTATCCTGATCCAGATCAACCCAATTCATCTATCCCATCCTATCTCTCTAAGATCCATTTTAATATTGTCCACCCACCTATGCAATCTGTCTTGTTCTACTTTTAACATTTTCGAAGTGGAGGAACCGTGGAAAATAGAACGAAACCGTAGTCAGAATAGCCGGTCTCCCGATAGAGATTCAGTGCCAGTCTTCTGAATACAAAAGTGTGCTAACTACTACACCGTTATGTTCGCTATCTACTTTCTCTCCTCTGTGTTTCAATTAACTGTTTTCCTTCAAATCTTCCACCTTTAATTGGAAAGGTATCTTTCGCAGTCTGTCTTGAGCTGGTGAGAATTTGTGTTGCAGGTAGACGAAGATAATGAAGCCACCAGAGTGGTACGGTGTGCTCAGGTACCGTATTGTTCCGCCCATTTTCCTGGTCGTGTTCACGGGTGCCGTGCAATACCTCGCCCTCGTCGGACAAGGCGAAAGCAACATCACGTGGCGCCTGGCGGCCTCCAAAGCATTGGGCAACAGCTTTTCCTGGACATGTGTGGGACTCTTCTCCCTGTGGGCCATTCTTTGGCTTCAGCTCCCGTCGAGCCAGGTCCATGGGCCTCCCACGCTCTTCGGCTACAGGCCTCCCTACCAGGTAGGATGCAAGAGGAGACACCCATCCGGTATGCAATCCATAGGCTGGTTACTTTATACCACTGGTTTTTTGCGCATCATCTGTTCTCTGTGTAGGCCTTCGTCATGTGCATGACATTTCAGGCGGTTGCACCTGCTCTTCGAGCGATTCAAGCTCTTTACTTTGTGCTACGATGATAGCCCATCTCCGTGTACTTATATATACATCCGTTTGGAGGTTAATTTGATACCGTCATCTGCAGTAATTCTGGCCTCACGAAAATATTTTTAAATTTTAGTTTCCCACTTGGTGGAATATTTCGAAATGATTGCTGTACCGTCGTTTAGATAGCATTATAAGAAAACTGGTGAAATGGCTGAAGTAGTTATTCTGTCTCCCAGTAGGGAACAGCACATTTATTGCAACACATTGCAACTCGAGTTGCAGTCCGCCTTCATACCAGACCGGACATAATACACGAAATAGAGCCACCCGTCAAATAATAGTATAAAACTAGATAACACTGCCGCATACCAAGGGCCTCCAAGCATTTTAGCCACTTCATGCGTGTGTAGAAGCAAGGAAGCTGTCGCCATGTGTCCGCATAAACACTAAGACGTAACATTACGATTGCAACAACCTACCTCAATAGGACACATTATATGTTTAGTTCTTAATTATATTTTAATTGCGTAACTAATATAAATGTAAATAAAATATGATTACATAACAATTTAAATATTGGGGGCTCTTTTTTATTGTAACTATTTATCTAACTACAGAAACTTCTTTCTGCCTCAGCATCTCTAAAAAGTCACAATTGTACACATATTTTGTCTGTTATATCCGTGTGCATTATAACGAGTGTTTACTGTACTGTGACAATTTTGATTATGTTTATGAGACCGTGTAGCTTTGTAGGTGGTTACCAATGTTGTCCTATCCTCAAGACCGAGGCAGAGGTTTCCTTTGAGGGGCTGGTAACCACGTACAAGACCACACATGCACTAACACTCTCGACTTTGTTCAGGATAACGGAGTGCTGTACTACTGGGCCAGTTTGGTGGGGTTCTTCACTATACAGGCGTTGTACCCCGATCTTTCCGGTGCCATCTTCAGCAACATGCCCGAGATGCTGGGCACGCTGAACGCGGTGGCCCTCACACTATGCGTCCTACTACTGCTCAAGGGGAAGCTGAGGCCTCAGCACCCTGAGGACAGACACCCCTCGCGACCCCTGCTCTACGAGTTCTACACCGGACTGGAGCTGCACCCGCGAATCCTGGGCATGGATGTGAAACAGCTCACCAACTGTCGCATCGGCATGATGTCCTGGCAGATCCTCATCCTCGCCTTCTACTTGGCCGGTGTGCAGCGCCACGGGTTCAGCGCCGCCACGCTAGTCAACCTCCTGCTGCAGGTGTGAACACAGTTAGAAACGAGAAGTTCTGGGGAGAACTAATGGCCTACTTCCCTCTCATACGACACGTTTAGCATAGAAAACGACGCCTTCAACAATTCTTCGTTGCCGCGGGAACGTCTTTACCGAGTTGGTATCTAATAACGATAGGGAGACACACAGACAGACCCACAGACACACGCGTCCAACAGTTCTTCTATTCAGCCTCTTTATTATATCCGTCACAACACAACTAGTATCAAGATCAGACCATTTTCGGCCCTGCTACATGTTTCGGCTATTCATAGCCATCATCAGGCAAACACATGATTTACACACCACTGAACCGCAGCACCACAACAATTGGATACAATACTATTAAAATATATAAAAACACTTAACGTAAAAAATACAGTAAATCAAGTTATATAAAACATAAGTATGATATAAAATAAGAATAAAATTCTTTTGGTGTTTTTACATCAACGTGTCAGTCGTTGGTTTGTGATTTGCTTTTTGTTTCGTTCCCACGGACAAGTTGGAATATTCATACTTATGCGTATGTAAAATTGTGTGAGGCTCGTAATGTAGATGCAGTAAAGTAAATGAAGTTAGTGCCTCATCTCACAAAGCATTGTCCCTACTGTAGGGAATGTAAACAACGACTGGGGCTGCGGTTCAGTGGTGTGTATGTGTGTGTAAATCATGTGTTTGCCTGATGATGGCTATCAATAACCGAAACATGTAGCAGGGCCGAAAATGGTCTGATCTTGATATTAGTTGTGTTGTGACGGATATAATAAAGAGGTTGTATATTGTTACACAACAGGACGCATGAAATGAAAATTCTCCTATTGTTGCGTGTCTTCGTTGCCGCGGGAACGTGTTTATCTAGCCGTTGCCTAGCAATAAAATAAGGGATACATTTTACTGAGCCGTTGCCTAGCAACGATAGGAAGGATACACATACAGACACAGGAACTGAAGGGAGAGATTTAGGAAGCAAGCGTTGAGATGGGCTCAGATGTCATGATATACATACAAAGGCACGATGCTACAAGCCGGAAGGTCGCGGGTTCGATTCCCGACGAAGTCGGATTTTTCATTTGACTTAATCCTTCTAACCGCACTATGGCCCCGAAGTCGACTCAGCCTCTAACAGAAATGAGTACCAGGAATCTTCCTGGGTGTATAGGGCATCTGGTGCGTAAGGCTAACAACCTAACAGTCATCTGTGAGCCAACTATCTAGAAAACATGGGAACCTCAACGTTTCACAGTCCTATGAGCCTGCACGGCCTGTTACAGGGATGATATACATACTACACTACGTTTCATAAAGACTAGTTCAGGCATTCAGAAGTTAATGGGGGGGGGATTCACAAACATACAGACGGCATGGACATCACATAAGTCTCTTTCACTTGTTAAAATAAAGAAAGTAGGGTAACAAATTCGTAATTTTCCTATGTTATAATATGGTGAGAGGCAACAGCAGCAGTTGATACAGTATAGTGAAAGAAAGTAATAATGCATTCTGGTGATATATGTTGTGCAGTCTGTGTTCGTGGCCAAGTTCTTCTGGTGGGAGGCTGGTTACTTCAGCACACTGGACATCATACTGGACAGAGCTGGGTACTACATCTGCTGGGGTTGTCTTGTGTGGGTGCCCTGCCTGTACACATTCTCTTCCTATTACTTGGTGGCACACCCTCCCGTTGTCTCCACAGCAACAGCTCTGCTGATCGCAGTGTTTGGCCTCTTCACAATTCTCCTCAATTACCGTGTTGACTATGAGAAGCAGTTGTTCCGGAGGGCTGCAGATGGCAAGTGTCATCTGTGGGGCAAGCCAGCCCGCTACATAGAAGCACAGTACAGAGACAGCAGTGGTAATGTCCGTACTTCCAAGCTTCTCCTGTCAGGTAAGTGTGATGTGTGGGGGCAAAGCATCACAATACAAAGAGAACTGTGCTAATATTCATAACTAACTAAATTCATGGAGCTGAGCCCTTCTCAAGAAGCCGCCAGTCACCCACCTACACAAGAACTCATCAACATGTTATGGAACCTGAAGGTTCATTACCATGTTCACAAGATCCCTCCATTGGTCCATAACCTGAGCCAGATCAATCCAGTTCCTATTTCTCTAAGTTCCATTTTAATATTATGCACCCAACTACATTTTGGGCCTCCTAGTAGTCTCTTTTTTTCTGGCTTTCCCACCAATAGCCTATATGTATTCATATTCTCCACAATTCGTGCTACATTCCCTGCCAATCTCATCCTTCTTGATGATCATTCAAATTATACTTGGCAGAAGAGTATAACTATGAAGTAGTTCTCTCCAGTCTCCTGTCACTTCATCTCTCTTCAGTTCAAATATTCCCCTCAGCACCATGTTCTCAAACATCCTCTGTCTATGTTCCTCCCTTAATATCAGAAACAAAGGTTCACACCCATATAAAACCACAGGCAAAATCATAGTTTTTGTATGTTCCAATTTTTATGTTTTTAGACAGCAGACAAGAAGACAAAAGGTTCTGCACTGAATGACAGCAAGCATTACCCAAATTCGAACTCCTCTTAATTTCCTCCTGAATCAGGTTTTGGTTTGTTACTGTCATTCCAAAATTTATGAACTGTGCCACATTTTCAGAACATCTGTTACCTATGTTTATGTCATGATTTTGCCCCGCATTCTGGTGACAAGACAGCAACATAAACTTTTTCTTCCTGGGTAAGTGTAATCTGTGGGACAAATCAGCAAAGTATAGAGAAAACAATGGCAATACCTAAACCTCTAGGTTTCTCTTGTCAAGTAAGTAAAATCTGTGGGGCAAGTGGGCACAGCAAATTGACAGCAGCTGTAATGTCTGTCAACTGCAAGTTTCTTTCATTGGGTAAACGTGATATGTAGTGCAAGCCAGTAAAGTACAAAGAGAACAGTGGTAATATCCATACCACAGGTTTCTGTTATCAGGTCTATATGATCTGTTGGATAAGCCTCCACTTCATATATTCATAGATGGTCTCACACTTCCAAGCTCTATTTGGGTGTGCTATGTGACAGAAACAATATATTGTAGACCTTTTGGAATATTCTACATCTGCTTATGGACAAAATAGTTTTTGGATTAAAATACTTTAAATGACATCCTAATAACCAGACCATAGAGAAGATGACAGAGAAGAAAGAAACTTGAAGATGGAAAGCTTTATGTAACTGATAAAAATCTTGTAGAGAGAACATTTTGATATTAATGTTTCTAATTTAGTGTATGTTTTATGTTATTCATATTAAATAGTGCACTATTTTGAAGATAATAACCTCTCAAATACTAAAGCATGTTTTGTATTAGACATAAGAACAGAGCTGACTATATTTATGATAGGTCTTTCATACTGTAGGCACAATTAATTTTCTGTTCTGTAACAGCTTGCATTAGTGACAAACATTATTTGATAATCATGTGAAACTGTTACAAAGTAAACACTGCATTCTACAGGTTTCTGGGGCTCTGCACGGCACCTGAACTACACATTTGAATTGCTGGCTTCACTTGCATGGTGTCTACCAGGAATTGGACTTGGAGTGTGGCCATTCCTCTACGCCATCTTTTTGACATGCCTCCTTGTGCATCGAACATTCAGAGACGAGGAGAAGTGTGCTGTTAAATATGGTCATAACTGGGATAGATACTGTCGTGAAGTTCCATTCAGACTCATACCGCATGTCTTCTGAATGTTGCATGCAAACTGCCTGAATTCTTGGAGCATATCCCACAACATACTGTGTAGTTGCAAAACAGTTTTACATATACCAACTCTTGGCTTTATGAAGATACTGAAGCTAAATAAACCACTATTTACATAGAAAAATCATTATGCTCTATACAATTGTTACCTGAAGAGAGATGTGAGTGTCTGAATGTTCAACAAGTCAAGTGTAAACCAACACAATAAACTTACTCCCACAGTGAAGGGCGTGGAGATGTACAATAAATCCAGAGTGGTAGTACATTGTGCTTATTCATACTCTCTGTCTTTACACAAAGAGACAATATAGGATAGTCAGCAATTTCTTAATGAGAAGCTTAATAATTGCACTCTTTGTGAAATACTGTTAGGTTGATCATTTTTTTTTAATCTGAGTTTTAATGATACTACCAATATCCAGACGTAAGTATCAGCGATCACAGGATCATTAATGACTATGCAGCAGATTTAAGAAGACTGGGATGAGTGGCACATGTAGCACAAATAAGAGAGATTATGTACACTGTTTTGGCCAGAAAACATGAAGGGGTAAAACAACTTTGGTAACCTAACCCTAGGTGTACATGGATTGGTAACATTCAAATAGACTAAAGTAATAAGGTGTGAGGTTGTGGTCTGGATTCAACAGGCTCAAAGATGTTCACGTTCCATACAAGATAAGGAATTCTTTACAAGCTGAGCAACTACTAGTTTCTCAAGAAAGATTCTTGCTCCATGGAGTTAATTACAGCAGGGTTTCCATATCCTGGTTTGCAAGTGAAAGTGTTTAATTAAAAAATTGTAATACGTTAAGTTCTGCGCTGGTTTGCCAAATAATATCTCAGTCTTGTACAAGACATAATTATCAAACTGTGTAACATAAAAACGCCTCAATAAATATAAACGTTAGTCTCAGTAATATTCCAGGATTACTGGATATTTTAAGAAAAAGAAGAAAGCAATTTTGAGAAGTATCCACAAAATTTCACTTGAGATGCAAGAAAAGATGGCTGTCTTTAATTATTTGTGTAAACTTTTGTAGAATTTATTGACCATCTTAACATAAAAACTATAAATGAAAAAGTTTTGAGTTAATATTGAAAATAGACTGAAGTTGTTTCCAAAATTGTACACCCTATCTGAAAACATTTATTTTACGTGTAATAGTTAGATAAATTTATCAGTTTAATTGGTTTTTGTATGAATTTTAAGGACAGTACAAGTAGAATAAATTAGGAAAGACTAGAAGTACAGATGGTCCCATAACATTAGAAATTTGTTCTCAAAAGAATCATCCATTAGCATATTACTTGCTAATTTATTACAGAAGTTTCCTGATTTTGCTGCTTATTATTAAGATGTACAGTGGACTAATTACTTGATATTTCGCCAATTTGCAGTAATCCAGCCACACAGCTATAATACAATATTACTTGTAGTTGATAATATATATATCTTTTTTTTATTATTGCTAGTGGGGTGGGACTATGATTTTGATCTTGTATATGCATATTGATATCTGTATTCAAAGGACAATTTCCACATCCTGGTTTTTTAACTTGTAGGGATATATATGGAAAATAAATTGACAATGGAATGGAATGGACTAAGTCCCTTGTACTGTGGCCATTTCTGGTGATAATATATTTATCAGAGTTGTTGCACAGTGAGAACTATACATATAATGTAAAATATTTATGGAAATACACCCTGGGATAGATATGACATACTCATAATAGTGAATGAAATATGGAAGTTATTCACAAAACTGAAATGGTAATGTTACTTTTATTAACAGTGTACACTGTTACGTTCTCCCATTTATTTTACTCAGGTATGTAGGATGTACCTTGTATCGTGCATCTGATAAGTAAGAATTTTATTACTCCCAAAATTTATGTCTAAAGGGCACTGTTTTTTAAAGGTTAAGAAGAACAAATACAGCTTCGTTTAAGTATACTTCAACAGAATTTAATGAAGTTGTCTAAAAATAACCTGATATGGATGAGGTGTTTCTATGCAACCTTTATGCCCACAGGGATCATTGTAATGTGTACAGGTTGTATGGATTATTTTGCAAACGTTCAAGGAATGAAATTAAGAAAAACTATTTTGAATATTGATTTATTTGATGATCTGTATGATCCAGCAGTGTCATTCAGCAGATATTTTGGACATAAAAATTAATGAAATTTGATATGAAATTAAAGGACATTGCAAGAACATATAAAATCCTTATGAGTTACTTGCATTTAAATCGTGTTTGATGGATCCTGTGTTGGATGTAGGAACATATGCTCATGTAAGTTGCATGGAGGTAGGAGGATTACAGTTTTCACATCAGTTACAGGACACAGACGAGTGCTGAATCCATGGCAGATATGACTTAAAGCTTGCAGTACTAAGATGGAACTGGCTCTTATTGTAAATAACAGCTGAAAAGTGCTGGAACAGTTATTTTCAGTTTGTCACTTAGTCTTGATGGCAGCTTATTTTAGTTTGCTACTATTGCACTTTACACCCCTGCACTTTTCTCTTCTTGCCCTCTCTAACTTGCATCTAATCCTACAGAACTCACTATTTGCTTTTTGCAGCACTCACTGTTTTACCATATGAAAACTGCTGCCTCCTGCAGACTGACTCTTCTTAGGCTAGTGGCTGCCATTTTATACAAGAAATTTTCTTTTTGAATTTTAAAATTGTGATTTCAGTGACAAGAGTTACTGCTTTATACCAATGAATAAGTCTCATTCTAAGCATTTCATTATGTTAGTATTAATTTGATTAGTTTCTTGAAAAGGATAAGAATTGGAGCAAGGACAATGTAAGTGCATAGAGTAGAAAAAATGATGCAGTGAGAGGGAAGATAAAAAAAGAATAGGAAGTTGGCTGGAGCCTAGTTTGTGCCAAAGAACTGTCACAACTTTGGCAGAATAAAATAATGAAAACCCTCAATCATAATTTCAATTAGATACCTCCTGTATATAAATATTCTACTCTCATATGAATCTGCTTCTTAGTAAGATTGACTAAATAATAGAAATGCTATTTTATCAACAATTACAACATTGAAAATGACAATATAAATAAATATCTGAAACTTCTTTTGTTCATCATTTTCAAGTTCACTGATCATAATGGCAGTCACATTGAACTACTTTTTTCATATATTGAAGAAAGAAGTATGGAACAGATGAGTGTATGCATTAATTAGAGAAACTCATTTGAGTAACTGAAGTGTATTATATTTTGTGAATGTTCAAGTGTAAGTGAAGTGTGCTGAGCAACTGTATATATAAGTATTGACTGCACATGAATTCTATATAGAAGCGCACACTGAAGAGTGCTGAGGAGGTTTTGTGTATAATGTTTACGACAAACTGAATTTGAGAATTATCTCATGAACACTAATTACAATTTGCCTACTACAAAATCCAGTATCAAACAAGATTAACTGAGAAAAATACATAACATGCCATGAATTATGTTACATAATGAGAGAGACTATGAAATGAGACCTAAACCTGATCCAAATATTTTTGTTGCCAGTTATGTACATAAAGAGTAGCTTCATGCAATATCCATTATCTGTACCAAGAATTTCCTTCAATCCATCAAGATACAAATTCCATATCCCCAGAAAGCCTATGACATTCATCTGGAAATCCTGCCCTCTAAGTTAAAATATCCTTTCATTCTTGTTTTCTGAGAGATGACAATCATAAATTGCCTTAAGTTTCTACCAGGTAAAGGATTCTGTTGTAACAGGTTAAGAATCCTCACTGAGAACACTTACTGCTTAGTGTTTGTGACTCTTTATTCAAGAAGCTGGAAGCTGTTTCCTCCATCTAGTCAGAGGAGGGAAATATCATAGATATTACATAATTAAATTCAAATAACTGAAAATACTGACTTTTGTTTCAAGTCATCTTTTAATTTTCTACAAGCAGGTTGTCTTCTTTTTAGAAAATAAGGATTCATCTAAATAGCAATGTAAATTTTCTTGTTTGTACCAGCATGATTTAATCTGTGAATCTGTTAAGCAGGTTAAAATTTATTTGATATGATTAGCAATTCCACATCCCTAGACTTTTTCAGCCATGCTCCATGTCAATGCCAGACTTACAGACGCCCCTGCATTTTTACTTGCAATAATATCAGTTGAATTGTTCCTCAGTGCAATAAATCTAAGTCAGGATTGGTATCAATTTTGTTTTATCAACTACCGGAACATCATCTGATATCCCAACACAAATGAGATATATAAATACAGTCTTGTTTTTGTACTATCCATTCCATGTCTCACCCCACTATTATAATAAATAATCAAAAGTTACACACATAAGATATCTATAATCTGCTTCCAAGACATGATATTGAGGTAATTCTTGTATAAAAATTTTGTGTTTTTCTTTTAATATTGAAATTTGGGTTCCATACCTTCATAAATATTCTTGCTGCCTCCTCCACTTAGCTATGTTTTCTTGGTAGTAATCATAAGAAATTAGTAAGGAATAGCCTTAGTGCTGTCTGATACCCAAATTATCATACTAAATATCAAAACATGGAATGAGATTATTAGCCTCGTTTCCTATGTTTTAAAAGTGTTCTTATACTGCACAGTGTGAGTCTTATGACAGGTATTTGCTTAACTGTATCACATGCCTCAGTGAACATTACAATCGCCATCTTCAGGATGAATGACGATCATAATGTTGGGTGAAATAGTGGGTACAGTTATAATAGCAATGTGACCCAATGCTAACACCAGCCATTAAAGTTTAACAGCAAGAATGAATGTTCACACAGTATTCTTTGCAGCTCCATAGGAATAAACCATATCCATGACTCTGATACAGAAAAATAAACATCTGCCAAATTCATAAGAACTGTAGAAAATGTGTATTACTTATGCAAAAACGTTTAATTTAGAAATATTATTATTATTAGTGGTAGCATAAAGCTTGTTAAAATTTTAAATGGAAATTGTTAAAAACAAACTTTATCCAAAATATCTAACTTCAATAACCTGAATAGTTTTGGGAAGACTGCTGCCAAGACATTTAAGTTATACTAAGATACTAAACTTTATAGAATAATAATACACTGCCCCTATCAAGATGAAATCCTTTTAGCAAAAATTTCTTATAAAAACAAAATTTGTCAGAAGTATCTAACCCCTTATTTCTTCAGCTGACAACACATCCTAGAGTGCTCATAATCTAGTTCATCACTGAACAATGAAGGTATACTTCTTTCAGTTACAACTTAACCAACTATAATAAACAAAATAAACACCGACATACACTTTATAAATTTAAAAAATAGCTATTATTTCTGTATTACCACCATAAACTCCATTTTCCCATGTACATTTTGCATTTCTCCTCTTTATTAATAATAAACAGCCTCAAATTGTTCTCAATGATGTCACATGCAACAGAAGGGCGAAACCGTTTCCAGTCATTGTACACACACCATACAGCTTCCTCCTCAAATACAACATACTCTCTACTTCCATTAGTATTCCAAAGCTTCAAAATAAACAATTTCCATCTGAAGCTACAATTTCCTTAGATAACCCCTCTACTGATCTGCTCTTTATACACATTAGAGCATGATTTCACTGATAGTACACGTTATCAACAATATAAACTTGATTTTATCATTTTGCTGCCACCTGGGAGTTAATTCTGTAACCCTTAATATGCAGCCACACTTCATTCTAAATGGTCTCAAATGCAGGAACTCTCAAAATAAACAATTCCCATCCCTGGCTTTTCCACAGGTGACCCCTCTAATGATCCAAAGTTATATATGAAATTACAATTTCACTGAATATATGCACTATCAGCAACTGAAATTTATTTTCTGCAAAGGGTTATGTTTGCAATGCTGTCTGGCAGCTAGTCTCATAACTACTTTAACAGATCTCAATTGCAGGCACTATTTGAACAGTCTATCTAGCCTTAGCTTTTATATAAATAGATAGTGTGAGTTCAGGATAATTAATCATATTTGTTTTTAAGATAAATGCTTACTTAAAACATCTTTAATATCAGCCTTGTTTAAGGAATCACTAATACAAGGATTATCACGTACCATAACATGACATTCACTGTTCAATCATATTACTTGATCTTATTGTAAAACTCCTCTACCTTGGGGAAACAGAACTAAAATTTTATGTTTTATTAAGGGTGATTTTCTGTTTAAGAATGTTCATTCTATCTCATTGCAGTTCTATGCAACTGGTTTGTACAGAGTCTGCGAAGGGAATGTTTCTGACACATTTTCTTACAAGTTGAAATATCCAGTTTTTAATGCCATGTTTGAAGGAACGCAGTTCTAAATAGAAGTATGGAGAAATGAAACAGGAGGAGCTGATATTCTGTCATGTGTATGCGTACTCTGAATCATACTGTTACAACAATGGCCATTTAATGTTCTTCCATTTGTGTATTCTTTTCTGTAAACTCTATATATTTATGTTAATAAGGGAGATCTAAATTTTCTAAGCATGATCGTGAAGTACAGAATAATTTAAAATAGAAATGTAGGCCTACATATAGAAACTTATGCTCCAAACTGTCAGAAATGACAATATGATATGAACGATGATTTGTGACAGCGCCAACGAAATATTATACGCATGATAAAGCAATGGCCTAGATTGATTGTATTCAAGCAGGTGCATTTACCAGACAATCATCAGCATATATCATATTCTAGTGATGCACACCAGTCATCCATAAACACTGAATATTTCCTAGTGGAAACTATATAAATCCTCACAGACAAGGCAAAGGGTATCAGATATGAAGAAAGCAGTCTTCTGGGATTTGGCACCNTCCGAAACGTCGGTTAACACCACATATACACGGTGCCAAATCCCAGAAGACTGCTTTCTTCATAGTGACCGCCGTGAAAGCCTCAAATCTTACATGGTATCAGATATATTTACAAATGTGAATATACTCTGCAGGAATGACATTCGGTTGCACAACACAAAAATATCACATACATTTATTGGATATTGAAAAAGAAAAGATTTCCATGCTTCTAGATGTAATATGTTGTTAGGTTTTTAATATCAATCACTTCAATTTAAACGTTTATATTATGAGGAGGAATGAATATTCTAAAATACAAATTACGGGTCTTCAGACTCAAGTTATACATGATTTACTGCCTTGGTGAATATTCTCTCCAAATGTACCTTCGAATAATTACTTGGATGTGCTGTATTTTTTCATATTGCAAAAATATAATGTATGACTAGCATACAAAGTAATAGTTGGAGCTCTTATCAATCTGCAGCCATGCCATACCCTCTTGAGAACCCTTCATAAGGAAACGTGTCAGAAAAGAAGGGTAATTCTTCTTTTGTACATTCCTAGCATTTCCCATAGGTATTTGGTAATGGATTATGTAATATTAAAGTGTTGCTGATAATTTCGTTTATTATGTATTAAGATATTATGATCATTTGTTTTTGTGCAATTAATAATGAAAAATGATGTAGCTCATATATTATTCGGCAGACAAATAGAGTTCTTAATTTTAGTCTTGCAGTCTTTGTTCACATATGGAAACTTTGCCCACATGAATGCCAAAATATGTGTTATCATGAATTCTGATAGCTCAACATTAAATTTAACTTAGTGTATCATACAATTTCTTTATTAAAACCATCACAACACAACAATATTAAGGTCAGTGCCTAGTTTGGCTCTTCTACATGTTTCGGCTATTAATAGCCATCATCAGGCAAATGCATGGCTAACATATATACACCACTGAACTGCAGTACTAATAATATTAATTATATTAAAATACTTGGTGTAAAAATACAATAAATTAGATTATATAAAACAAAAGTTATAATGTAAAACAAGAATAAAATTCTTCGAGTGATGTTTTACATCATCGAGTCAGTTGTTGGTTTTTGTGATTTTATTGTGTTCCCACGGACAAGTTGGAGTATTATATATTTTGTATATATATAATAAATTGTTTTGGAGGCTCGTGATGTAGATGTAGTAATGTTAATTATTTATTCGGTGCCTCATCTTACAAAGTATTGTCCATTCTTCAAGGAACGTAAACAATGACTTATAACTTTTGTTTTATATAATCTAATTTATTGTATTTTTATGCCCAGTAACTGACGAAGAATAGTCGCTGCAAGAAGAGTAGCCGAAACAACAGGAGACACTGCAAGAACAGCCACCCAGGAAAAGGAACGGGGATGCACCGTTAGGCTATTCGGGACGAACAGCCTTAAGGAGGGAGCAGTGTGACATGTTGACCCCTACCTCCCCAGCTGCACGTAGCGGTAACGTAGCGCTCGCGTAATGGGCGAGTAATCACCCCGCAACTCTCCCCGCGGTGACGTCACGAGCGGCGCCGAGCGAAGCCGAAGTGAGCCGAAGTTAGCCGAGTCCTAGCATCCTGGTCGCTATGCAAAGCGAGTCAACAG